CCCCCCGTGTGCTGGGTGCACCCCCAGAGCGTGAGCAGCAGCTCAGGGAGGAGATCCTGCCCCTCTGCTGTGCTCTGCTCTGGGGAGACCCCACTTGCAGCACTGTGTGCAGGGCTGGTGAACCCAACATAAGAGGACATGGAGCTGCTGGAGCAATCTGTACCTGACTCCAGGATTTCCTGGCCATCCAGTCAACCTTCGTCTTAAGCCACAGCTCTCTCATAAATCAGATTTTGAGATGGGAAATTAACACTGGAGTTTACAATAGCATTCAGAGCTTTGCACTGAGCTGAGTTCCACATCCATATTGCTTATTCTTCTTGCCTACAATACTCAAAATCCCATTCAAGCACCATGTAATACTCCAAACTTCAGCCCCAGTCACAGTGATCAGGTATTCAGCCTGAAGAGTGGCCAGGATTTGTTCTTGGAAAGGATTTGATTAGATGTATTCATCACTCTACTTGTATTTCTTTTAATGTTAGTCTTCAGTGGGAAAATAATCATGCACAAGCCACACAAACTAAAAGCCAACTGAATCTCTGCAGATCATCTACAAAGAGAATAGGTGGCAAAAGAATGCTTGATCAATGTTCTTCAATGAAATACAATGTCTTAAAAATTCAAAAGCCTGAGCAAATCCCTTATTCCCTTGCACTTAGTGATTAATAATGGTGACTGCGTAACCTGCTGTTCTCCAGGTAGGTCCCTGTTAGCTGAGCCTCATTCTATGGACCATCAAGAAGCCTGCATCATTTCTTCATTCCTGTGAAAACTGGGCACAGCACAAGCAGCTGGAGGCTCGGAAACATGCAGTGCCCTGAAGAAGTCAGTCATTCTGCAGCCCCAGTGGGTCAGCAAAGTGAAGAAGTCACCGAATCTGAGGTACTGAGAGTCCTAGAGACATAGAATCATAGAATGGTTTAAACTGCACAGGATGGGGCGGCCACAGCTTCTCTGGGCACCCTGTGCCAGCGCCTCAGCACCCTCCCAGGGAAGAGCTTCTGCCTCAGAGCTCATCTCAATCTCCCCTCTGGCAGGTTCAAGCCATTCCCCTTGGCCTGTCCCTACAGGCCCTTGTCCAAAGCCCCTCTCCAGGTTTCCTGGAGCCTTCTCTTTCCCAGCCTGAACAAGCCCAGCTCTTTCTGTCCCATGCCCCATCCCTGGCAGTGTTCAAAGCCAGGTTGGACACAAGGGCTTGGAGCAACCTGCTCTAGTGGAAGGTGTCCCTGCCCGTAGCTGGGGTTGGAACTGGAGGAGCTTTAAGGTCCCTTCAACCCAAACCATTCTATGGTGATTCTATGAATGACCCATTCACTGCCTTCTAAGCTCCCGAAGCCAAGCAGTACATGCAGCTCACGTGTCTGCTGTCAGACCACACAAGCACCATGTCACAGAATCATGTCATTTTTAATGCTGAAGAGTTTAACAAGATGAATTCCAGTTCTGTTTGACATGGGGAGAGCTCTCTGGATAAAGAACAGAATTAAATTAGTAATAGGGCTGCATTTCATCAGCACATACTAATAGCTGCCAGTTGTTCTACATCTTCCCTGTTCACATTAGAGAAGTAACCAATTACACACATCACTGTATTGAGCTGTGAAATTTTAATTCATGCCCCCAAAAGATTAGAACAGCAATTACAAAATGCTGTGTGAGTGCAAAAGAGAAGTGTGAGGCTGCTCCCCTCAAATAACCACGTTAAATCGCGTTTTCCTTCTTTAACTCGTCCCATTGTGGAAAAAGCTTTTTATTTTCATTTCTCTATCTATTTATTATGCATTATTATATTAGGTATTACGGAGGCCTGTCAACTGAGACCACGTTTCCCCAGGTCCAAAACTGAGTTCTAAAAGGAAAAGTGAGGTGCCCACCCAGATCATGACCAGGTTGGACACAGGGGCTTGGAGCAACCTGCTCTAGTGGAAGGTGTCCCTGCCCGGGGCAGGGGTGGGGACTGCAGGGGCTTTAAGGTCCTTTCCAACCCAAACCATTCTGTGATTCAATGATTCTATGTATTACACATATATTATGCATTCTGTTGCCACCTCTGTGCAAGTATAAAGTCAGCATCTCAAGCCACATGCAACAAGGACACAAGGGTTACTCATAATACTACATATACCTCTGCTATTGTCATTCTCATAGCACTGACAGGTGAGGGCTCAATATCCACCAGTTGAACTGCATTAAAACTCTAGATGCAGAGATGGCACAAGGAGGAAAACACACAGCAGCAAAGGTTAGAAAGCAAGGCAAAGACAGTTAGAAAGATTCCGTTCACTGTGTTAAGAACAAGGGTAAACTTTAGGGAAATAATTGATTCTATACAAAGGAGGTGGAGGAAAAATCAAACTCACAGTTTGTTAAAATGGAAAGACAAAGAAAATTGTGTAATAGATGTTAGAATGTCTAGAAAAATCACTCTTATGTATCTATTCGGAGGGTTCTTGTGTTTAATCACCTGAACTGGAGATCGAGACACTGCTCTCCAAGTCCTGCTAATGAATTCAAGTAATAAAAAGCTGCACAAGTTGAACTATTTTAAAGATCCAGTCTTATTTTCAACTGTGATTTCCTAAAATAACTTCAGTAATGTGAGTGGGACATCAACAACCCACTTGTATTAAAGTACTAGCTGGAAATGTATTTATACACTAAGATTTACTCCATTTTAATGTCATTTGGAGGCAGCACATACACCAAAATAGTATTTTCTGAGGGTATTTTGGAATGCAATGTTTTAACATATGCTTTCTAAATCAGTAACTTCTGATATGTGTCTGTAGGTATTCCTTGAGGAGCTCAGAGGTATGTGGACACTTAGTTGGCATAGCATCACACATGTAAAACAGTATTAGTGAGCATCAGGAGAATCTCACCAGCATGATAACAGGTAACAAAATGTAGTAGGAATTACACTGAAAGCAGAGGAACACAGGACTGTGAGGCACAATCTGGAAGCCAAACAAGATCCTGCTCTTCTGTGGATGACAGGGAACCTATTTGATGCTTCTGTTATAATGACCCAACTACTGCCAGCAGAGCTGCGGGACTCAAGGTCACTTCCCTTTTCTGTATATATAGATGAGGTTAAACCAGATTGGGACACCAGTGAGCATTATTCTCTTACTCATTTATAACAATGTTCATAAAATAGAGCAAGAACAAAGAAATGAAGGAATTCAGGAGGGTTCTTACAGTGTCACTGTCGCTTGGTTGGAACTGGAAAGGCTGTGGTTTGTGAAACACTGAGTTCTCCTGTAGAAACAGCTGGAGATTGTAATCCCTCACCACCTGGAAAACAACAATTGACATTGAGTAGTCTCCTTATTTTGTAAACTGAAAAACAGGCTATGAAGTAAAATGAGGACAGTGTTTCCAACAGAGATCAAAACTGCAGAACGCTGAATGCAACAAAAGGCTCCAGGGAGACCTTAGAGCAGTTCCAGGGCCTAAAGGGGCTCCAGGAAACCTGGAGAGGGGCTTTGGACAAGGGATGGAGGGACAGGACAAGGGGAATGGCTTGAACCTGCCAGAGGGGAGACTGAGATGAGCTCTGAGGCAGAAGCTCTTCCCTGGGAGGGTGCTGAGGCGCTGGCACAGGGTGCCCAGAGAAGCTGTGGCTGCCCCATCCCTGGCAGTGTTCAAGGCCAGGTTGGACACAGGGGCTTGGAGCAACCTGCTCTAGTGGAAGGTGTCCCTGCCCGGGGCAGGGATTGGGGCTGGAGGAGCTTTGAGGTCCCTTCAACCCAAACACCAGTCCATGATTCTGCATCTGCCATTAACCACAAAGGCAATATGGGGGAACCCCCCAACTATTGAGTACAGACTACGTGGTGTCACTGCTGTGAATATTTTTCTCCCCTCTTGTGGATAATTTTGTGTGCACAGCTCTTTTTAAAGCTGCAATGTCTGATTTCCACACAAATTATTAGTTGCAGGAGCTCAAAAGCCTCTTTGCAATAAGGCATACAAAATCAGTTATCAAATTCATCTCTTTGGAAATTGCTTTCAGAGAAAACTCTCAAAGCTGCATTTTGCTAACCCAAAACTACTTCAGCTACTAAATTTCTTTAATGATACATTTCAGACAGAGTGACATGTATCCCCAAACACTCTCTTATGTCACAATTTACACATATTTACAAAGAAAACCTCAGTGATTGCAACATGAAAATACAGCAGTGCTGCTTGAAGAACTCTACAGAGTATTTTCTGCTTCAATTGATGAAAATACATAAATAACAGCATGAAATTATAAATATCTATTACCAAAGTGAGGGTTTAAATGTACAGAAGTATATAATAAAGATGGTGTTTATCCTGAAATAGCAGCATTGTGTATGAGCATGAATTCTGATTATACTCTGTGTGCAATGGTATATACAACGTGTTCTCCAATGCAGCACAATGCTGATGCTTGTGCTGCTGGAATACTGAACTGCAAGAAATGAATCTTCAGTTAAAGGGAGTAAATGGTCCTCCAGGGCCAATAATCCACTCATCTGAAACAGTGAAGTACATAATTACTGCACCCATTTGAGCACATTCAAACGTGTGGAAAATGTACAGGGAAGGCTCACAGGGCACCTGTACTGGGAATTCCCAAGAGAGAAATTCAGAACATACTAAAGGAGGAACCAGCTGCAGCTTCGGGTGACTCTCGGCACTGACCAGGGCATGAGGATCATTCATGTTAAACACCTCCAGTCACAGAATCCCAGATTGGTTTGGGATGAAGGGAGCTTAAAGCTCCTCCAGCTCCAATCCCTGCCCCGGGCAGGGACACCTTCCACTAGAGCAGGTTGCTCCAAGCCCCTGTGTCCAACCTGGCCTTGAACACTGCCAGGGATGGGGCAGCCACAGCTTCTCTGGGCATCCTGTGCCAGCGCCTCAGCACCCTCCCAGGGAAGAGCTTCTTCTTACTCTCTGCCACCAGCCTATGAAAGTGCAATTTAACTTCCTTTTCACTTGAAGAGTCTGATTCAAGACTTGTGCTTCTCATGTGGAAAACAATCTGATTTTCTTTGGAACACTCTCTGAGATTCCATTTGCTCTTTCCAATACCATTGCTGTGATGTTTCTCACCAACTTTAGGGCAGAAAATACCATTTAGGCACGTCTCTGACTACGCCTTCTTCCTGTGCATGGTATATATTTAACATTTGATTTCAAGTCTCTTTTAACATGTCAGGTGGCATTGACTTCATAAAGAAACTGTGTGAGAATGTTGACTTAATTTCTGAATAACAGGAAAACTATTTGGAAAAGTTGCTGTTTAATCCTGTTGCCGAGGAGCCTTTTTATTTTCTTCCTAACAGTTGTCAAACACAGAGTGCAAAATGTCCCAACGTGTTATTTGCTGGACTGACACACTCAGCCAAAGCTCCTGTTATAATGACAGTTCTCATTTATAACTAAGGGTTGTTGTTTGAGAGGAGAATTTCTTCTGAGGCCTGTTGTAAAGATGGTTTTTCTTTGAAGAATCATAGAATGGTTTGGGTTGGAAGGGATCTTAAAGCTCATCCAGTCACAACCCCCTGCCATGGGCAGGGACACTAAACCATGTCACCCAAGACTCCCTCCAACACTGCCAGGGATGAAGTATTCACAACTTCTCTGGTAAACCCATTCCAGTGCCTCAGCACCCTCACTGTAGAGAACTTCTTCCTTAGATCTAACCTAAATCTCCCCTGTTTCAGTTTGAACCCATCACCCCTTGTCCTGTCACTCCAGTCCCTGATGAAGGTCCCTCTCCAGCATCCTTGTAGCCCCCTTCAGACACTGAAGCTGCTCTGAGGTCTCCACGCAGCTTCTCTTCTCCAGGCTCAACAGCCTCAATGTTCTCAGCCTGGCTCCATACAGGAGCTGCTCCAGCCCCTGAGCATCCTCGTGGCCTCCTCTGGACTTGCTCCAACAGCTCCATGTCCTTCTGATGTTGAGGACACCAGAACTGGACACAATATTCCAACTGAGATCTCAAAGTTGCTTTTGAGTTGGACGTCTGAAATGAAACTTACTGCAATACAGTATCTGTAGGTTATAGGTTATAATAATTAGCTTTTCTAATGACACTTTGGGGTTTTTCTAATTGGAGTTGGTTTAAAACAGCTACATGCATTTGACATGGCAAAGAGGTGTGTGCCATGGGCGTAAGAAGGATGTGGAGCTATTGGCGCAGGAACTGGATAAGCTTTAAGGTCCCTTCCAACCCAAACGACTCTATGATTCTATGAAGTATGAATATGTAGACATTATATACAAGCATATTTAGTTAAAAGATTCAAACCCAGCCTTTTCTGAGAAGACATTTTAAGCCAACCTGAATGATACACACCAAGGTAAATTATTCAAAGCCCTTTTCCAATAGAGATAAAATGGTGTTTTCATTACCTTTACAGCTACTGCAAGTAAATTCAAAGGCAAGCTACCACGGAGCCAGTTTTTAATCCACTCACTTTATATCTCATAAGGTGTGAGCTCGCTTGCAGATGAACAAGGAACATGTTAAATATGTTTTTTCTCCAAAAGCCCCTGTATAAATGAGTTGTTTCTGTGTTGGTGGTTCAGGTAAACACATGAAGGAACATTATGACTGCACTATAGTTGGAGCTCAATGGCTATTATATGTATTTGGGGTTTTTTTAGCCTGGCAGATGAATGATACAAGTATCAAAATAATCCTGGAAGTGATCATGTATTTCTGATTCTGGCTGCTTGACAAAGCAAACAAACCATGTTCATGACAAGCCTCTGATCTGTTTTCTCTATTTGCCATTCTTAATTCAAAGGAGAACAAACCCTCTAATATTGTGGTATTTAAGCTGACAGTCAATTACTAAGATACGATCCAAACTGTTTCACAGGGATTTGCTGGGATGGATGACTAATGTGGTCCAGATCATACAGTGCACAACTCTTAGATGCAATTCCTCTTTCCAAAGGTGCAGCGTGAGTACAACTGAACATCTCTTGAGTGCTGTTCTATAACAAATGGGCACTGTGTAAATGCACTCCTGAGAATGCATCCTGGGTGGCAATAGGAAAAATTCCCACCAGGAAAGCTGGCTCACATCTTTTAACTTAATACCACTCAGGAGTAACCAAAAATAACAAGCCTTCAGGCTTGTCCTTATTTGCTTCCAAGCAAATCTTAAGCCTGGGAACTTCATATATGCTCTAAGTATTCAGTTACAAAGGATCATTCAGTTCCAACTTACCCTGCTGGAAGTCTCCAGTAAGAACTGGAATGTGTTTTGTACAGCTTGGCATGTCTCTAGTTCAGTCCTGCT